ATTTTCTGGGGTTTTCTCTTCTTTTGTGTGTGTATTTGATTAATTTAGTAATTTTTTTATTGGAATTATTGTTTTATTGCATTGCATTTTATTTATTTTATTATTTGTTTCATTTATTTCAAATTGAAATATGTTTGGCATGCTGATAATTGGTACAGACAAATATTTTTATTCATGTATTTTTTTTAAACCTCATTCTCCAAAGGTGAGGTTGAGGGGTTGTAATAGCATGCATCTATGAGTCTTTTGGGCTGTGTGTGTCCTTCCGGGCGCATAACTCAAAAACCAACGGACCGATTTACTTCACTTACATTTTCACACATTGACATTTTCCAGCCACAGCGTACCAACTCGAGCTTAATATTTGGCCTTGTTTTTTAGGATTTTCCTTATGAGGCGCCAATTGTAAATTTATTATTTAACACAATTATTTATATATAATTCATTATTTAACATACAGTATAATTGAATAGATCACCTATCATTTATATATAATGCATTTACGTCTAAAAGATTATATGTAAATAATTGCGTTAACGTTTTCATTATTTATATATAATTAGTTTACTGATTTCATTACATATAAATAATGAAAAGCAACTTACAATTATTTATATATAGTAAGTTCACTGATTGCATTATATAACGAAAAGGTAACAAATCATTATATATAAATAAAAAACAATTATTTATATATAATAAGTTCACTGATTTCATTATATATAAATAACGAATTGACTTCAAACTCATATATAAATAACTGCTTTTACACTTCATTATTGCTGCGAAGCAGCCAATTCATATTCTTGACAGCAATTTGACCTCTGAAAGGTCATTGTTTGTCAAAAAACAAGGGCCTAAGACGACTGAAAAGCGGAGTTTCCTTCTTTCATTCTGCCAGATAAAATCAATTACTTTAGGCGACGTTCGTAGACTAACCAACACGTACCAACGTCCGCATGTCTCGCTAGCCTTATCCTACTCTAGGCCTAGACTAGCTAGGATGGTATAGGCCTAGCCTTGAAGGGACGACGCAAAACCTTTATATGTGTATAGTGCTTTGACATCAAACTCATATGTATATAATGCACACATGTTATCGTGTCAAGGTCATTATATCTAAATAATGGTTTCTTACTACCAATTATATAAATAACCGTTGAGGTCAAGTACCATTATATAGAAATAATGACATCGTAGGAAGCCATGGTTTATAAATAATTTGTTATGCAAATTACGAAGTTATAAATATTTGTCAGTGCTCTAAAGTTAGACCTACAATTAGGACCTATTGTGTGTGGTCTACAGGTCGCAGAGCATCACCCATCGAAAATGGCTCAGGCACAGGAAGGGATACAGCAGATTATTGAATCTGCTGTACTGCAAATCTCAATCAATTAGAGATCCCCAAAGTGAACGCTGCGGCCCTCAGGAATCTAGGTTTGAATCTGCTGTATCCAGGTCCGGGGCAATGTCCGGGGACTTGTCCGGATCAGCTGCTGGTGATAGGGCTGGAGATAGGCAGAGGCCTACCGAGGTTCATCAACACACAACGTCTACGCCGAGGTCTACGTCGACCGGGGTGAGTACTGTTTTTTAATACACATTTTTAGACATAGGGCTTAAATATTATAAAGCAGGTCTCATACACCATATAGGGCCTACCTGTATACGAGTATTGTGCAAATAATTAATACGGTAAGTAGGTCTATAGAAAAATACATGCTCATAGATATGGACAGAGTGACCATTAGGAAAATTTAAATTGCGCCTACCAAAGAATACCAAGATAGATTTAAAAAGAGATTCGCAAAATATAAG